TACCTACACAGTCGCACCTTAAAAAGCTACTCCAGTTGTATGTACTCGGAAACACAGTTGCAAGCAGGGAATTAATTTCAAGGAAAGGAAGAGACGAAAAGCGCTTAGTACGCATGAAGGAAATATCGTCCAAGTAGGGATTCTATCTCGCGTACGTCTAGATGTCCAACAGCAAAAATGAAACTTCGTATGAAAATTTAAAGGCACTTTATATTATTGTATCAATATTTACACTTCGAATGCGGAGATAATTTTGACGGTGACGTCATTTACTTAATACAATAAGGCCACTCTTTACTCTTGGATATCTGCCTGTACGTCACATACGAAGTGACGTGACCTTGAAAGTTATCGCTGGAACCAGCAACCTTGAGAAATTTCAGTTGTCGAATAGAGAAACTCAAGTAGTAGACATTGGCTTGAACCGTTTCCTTAGGAAAGACGCGTGCCCAGAACTTCTTACCTCATCAGCTCCAATATGTATAAACCTTGCATCAGGCTGTGCATCCAAAACCTGCGTGAGCATGGTCCGGACGAGGCCCTGCGAGTGCTGCCGCAAGGGGCATAGCACAGCCGAGGAGCGCGGCGTTTCTCGCAAGTTACTGAACGCGGGGTGCTTCAACACGAACTCCATGTGGCCGATAGTTTGGATAAGTTGGATCTGGAAAATCGAATAGAAACAGAAAGACAAGTAAGAAGCGGCGGTAGCATAGTGTAATAAGACAAGTAGAGCTTTGCTAGGAGCTTAGGGCTGACTCATTATTATTATAGTTGTACCAACTTTAAAATAATTTAAAAAAAAGTAAGGTGTTTGTTACAGTATTCTACTGCGTGCTATATTGAAATAACTTTTGTTAAATGCTGTACGTATGTATGTACACATATAACGTGTTGATATTTTTATACCTGCAGCACGGGTTGGTATCGCGATTATGGAAATAAAATGCTGAACAATTCTGTATTGAAGTCATTTTTGTTCAAGTCACCTTATACACAACAATAAACACGTCTACTATTTGATGTTATTTTTTAAACACTGAGCAAATGCTTCAATCATATAATCAAACGCACCGCGAGATTGTGCGAATGTGTGCACCTATACACGGCGCGCCGCAGGCGTGCACACATACAAGCCGCGCTGCAACGTTTGTGTCGAGTTCCCTTGCTTGTCTTATTATACTTTAGTGGTAGCCTAGTGCGAGAACTGTTGCTTGATTGACAGGCCGACACTTGTGAACCCAATAACGGCATTTATGTTTTTAATTTAACTGCCTCAGTGACCGAACGGTTACAATCGCAGGTTCGATTCCCGAGCCGGGAGAAATATTTGTATGGCCAACATTTATTTCTCTAGTGAGTTTGGGTGTTTGGAGTTATCGATGAGTATGTGTGTCCATGGCACCCGCGATACAGGATTTCTCTAGTGCGGTGTAAGTGTGTGCGTTATTCTTATTATTATTTCTAAGTCACGCGCATTTAAGAATATTTAAAAGCAGTACTCTCGCCAACGTTGAGATTAAACATCGTGACGAAACATTGAAAAAGAATGGCAACCCTTGGAAAACGTGCGAAATGCCTACAAAAGAAGCAACAGATTACATTATCATCATTTCATACAGTATTCTACTCCGTCCTGCAAACTTGGAAGATTGTCCAAACACTTAATTTGGAATTTAGTTTGTCGCCTCTTCCATGGCCACAGGTGCAGTAATACCACACCATTCTCATGTAATTATTATTGTTTCAATTAATTTAAAATGTATACAACATGAAAGTAACCGAGATAAAGCCTCCATTGATCTGTCTGGCATTTACTTCCACCAAAAAATAAGTTTCCTTATGCAATTTTACAGTAAAAATTTTCCATTTCCTTCTTTTCGCATATATTAAACATATTTGATATATTCTTTCTATTATTTAATATCAAGTCAATACCTGTCATATCTACAGTTACAGTAATAAATGAAAATTAACCAAAAAAATGTTTTGGCAACGACATTGATATTTGTGAAAATATTCCCCTAGTTTGTTATAATTTGTAATGCAAAGAGAACAAACACGAAGAAAAATTGCTTCAATCTGACTAGACTGAACTTGCATGTGTTGCCTCACCATCTGTAGCCACTGACTGTTAGTCAGTTGCTTTGGAGTCTGAGCAACATATGTCATATAAGAATAATAAATATATTTATTATTCTTAGTATCGGCAACAATAACAAAAAAAAACCTTGATCAATCCATTGACTTACAACTTCAAGCCCGATATCCTTAGCAAAGTTGAAGACGTGCTGAACTTCCTGCAAGGAGTAAAGTCCATCTCCTCCGCTGCCATTGGGGCTCTGCTGACTGCCAATATCTACCAGCTCGGCAATGTATGGGAATGTGTCCTCCCATTCGATGAGAATGCCTGTTGCTCCCCAGTGCTTTATACACACTAATACCTTAACAGAAAACTCCATAGTTAGTGTCAGTTTAAAGTAGTAAAGCAAGCGGTCTCACATACCAACAAGAACCTAAATCTGAAGTTAATGAAGATTAGTGGATAGTAAACTTTGCAAATGCACCTACGTAATAAACAGATAAGTAAATAAAGTAAAAACGTATATAATAATTAATTAAATAGTTCAGAGTCACAGTTCGCAACATGGAGAGAACAATAAATATGGTGGACACCCATTCATATATCGCTTTGTTAATACAATAGTGTATTAACTCAAAAAGTGTATTTTCTCAGAATTGACGAAAAACTAATTACTCGCTTTGTGTGAAAGATCTGTGTAAATTTATGTATCGGTTATTTCCTACTTGCCAAATATACGTATTTAACAATAAAAGAGAAAAAGTAATTTCAGATTTTTGAATAAGGACTATTTTAGCCAGAACTAGCTCACATAAAGTGTGTCTCATTTTGAGTTAAGTAGATCTTTCAGTTGTTTTTTACAATATTCTCATGACGGTTTTATTGATGTGTAGAGAATGAAATTTTACATTCAACAATGGTGTAATCTTGAATCTCACGTATTTTGAGTTGTAACACTATCGTAATAGCAGTGCGATATCATAATTTGAAAAATGCATTGTGCAAGATGCATTTAAACATTTATTTTACAAAAAACTATCAATTATTCTCAGTTTGTTTAATTTTTAAATATTAGTAACTAGAATTACCATTTTGTATTATTTCAAGTACGTTTGTTTTTGGAATTTATTTCGCGAATAAGCTCAACAGTTGGTCGCATTATGTTCATACAAAATTACAAAAAATACTCACTTGTTTGAAATACATTAGATTTAAAGGAGCGCCTTTGAAGTCGAAATGCACGATCCTACGATTTTAACAAATTGTTTAGAAGTAATCACTTAAAATTTAAGCATCGAATATCACAAAGCCGAATCACCATATAAATTAAAAGCGTTCTTTTTTAAAACTAACCTATTCATGGTTGTAGTACTGCAAACTTGTTAACTCAAACTAAATTAATACTGACACCACCCCGTTCCTCAATTTGAACAATTTTCCACAAAGGAAAGTTCGAATGTTCCTATATTCTCAGGAACGGAAAGCTTTTGTTTTTATTAATCCGGTACTTTACTATGTACATTTTTGTAAGGCGGATTCTTATATTGTTTGTTTTGCATTACTGAAATATTAACGCATTTTTCTAATTATTGTCGTATAATGCAAGTTTAATGCAGACAAACACATTTTTTTTTATCCCTATAACCTATTTATTTATAATAAATACGTATTCATCTATGATAGAGAATATAGTGTGTGTTAAAAGACCTTGTTATTGATATGACAGCTGGAGAGTGTTGCCGTTAAATTAAGCAATATATTGCCTTAAATTAGGGTAAAACCCTTAAAGTATGGACGAGAGAAAGGATAAATCTTTACTAAAATAGATTATACTGTGTACTTACATTAAGAAAGAAAATAACATGAGCCCTCAAATTATATTTTTGTAATAACCGTCAATGTGCATAATCTATCTCACCACCGCACTACATGTCTTTCAACCCTGACTTTGGCGAAATTGTCGCGCAAAACGACGGAGCCGTAGATACAAAAGCTGAAGTTGAAGTTGAAGCTTCACACATAACTAATATTACTAGTGCATAAACATTCCATTGTAGTTGTCAACTAAATAAAAGGAATGGGGTGTTATTTAAAACGATTAAAATATGATTTTGCAAACTTTAATTTCACAATCGTTAAATATACATTTTATTATTTATTACCTATATAACTTTAAGTAAGTAGATTCAACAAACTTATTTTCTACAATACTTTTCCTGTATAAAAATAAATTCATTATCATATCGCTGTCCAAAGTGGCACGTATGTCTTTCATGCAAAACGCACTCCGTGAAAACTTTCTCGCACAGTCAATTCGCTACCCATACTGCCGCCATTAATTGAAAGGGCACATGTAACAATTTTTTTAAATTGTTATGTATATTGCCGTGATCAATAAAAAAAAGGCCGATGTGTCACTATTTTTATTTTATCCTAGGTGGATAAGGTATGAAGTTACCACAAGAGAAAAGTACATTTTTTTTTAGTTTCATTTCTTTAAATATTGTTTTGTCGGTTTTGAGTTTTATCACAAGCACCCTTTCAACTAATGACGACAGCATAAACCACAATTAAATTAGAAGCGGTACAATATCTATTAACCCATTACAAAGGGTCTTTCTTTTTAAAGAAAATTTATATCATGGATACTTATGCGATGTGCCAATTAACCAACAACGCCGTCTTATCAATGGACTCACTAGTAGACAAAAAGAATACAATTGATTATATCGAAATATAGAGCCTTCCTTGGGAAGTAAATACAACAATAAATATTTAAAAAGAAGTATACCTTTATAGTTATAAATACGAATACATTCGCAATCTAATTTTATGAATCACACATTAAAAAATCTATAGATTGTACCTCAAAATAGGCAAAGATGTCTCAAAAACTTGATTACACACTAATCAGCATTGTACATATAATATTCTGATTACAGAAGTACAATGTAGAAATGTCATTGTGACGAATAAAATAACTACAGTACCTATATAACTATTTAATAATATTCAAACTACGATTTATTTTTATTTTATTACACTCAAAAAACATACAAAAAAGTAAACAATGAATATGAAATAATAAACTTGCTATTTTAAAGAAGTTATATAATTATGGTTTTAAACGTGTGCGATCGAAATTTTAATTACGTAATTAAAGTAATGTCAGAAAATTTTAATTAATGGGCAATAATTATTTTAACACTAGGGTCAGGTTCACCAGCGGCGTCTTTAGCCAGGGGTGCACTGCCGCACATTCGGAAGTTCTTTGTGTATGGTATGACGCCTACGAGAAGGCCGGAGACCACCACCCAGATGCCAGACACGTAGAACGCAGCGTCCCAATATCCAGTACTATCCTTTAGTGCGCCTAAAAGAAGTAAATCACAAATGTAAGACAAAAAACACACATCCAAATTAAGAAATTGAAATATTGAAAAGTATTAAGTTTTTTTATTAATTTATTTTCATTGCCTGTGTTTAAAAGTATACGTGACGTCAAATATATCCTTGCACCGGTAAAACGTGTTACAAGTCAAGGTTGTATTTTTTTCATAAAGATGATAAGTAGTACAATATAAAACAAGTGCCTGTTGCTGTGTTGTTTTATTTGCATAATAAAAATGAGTAACATAAACAAACAGATAACTGACATTTTATAGTCACCTAAAATTATTCTATTTTGAAATATTTATTAGATTAGATTGTATTGTTTAGACAGTGTCAGTCACTCACTCATTGTCTGATTTATCTTCATCAGATATGATTTTTTTTTAATGTAAGTTTTTAACTTACCAGCCATAGGCGGACCGATTAGATGACCAAGACCCTGACTCAGCAGCACGAGTCCATAAGCCATAGTAAATCGCTCGAGAGCTATTAATTCCACAAGAATGCTTGGAGTGTAGGAGTAGGAACTTGAAAACATAAGTCCAAATACAACAGCATTCGCAGCTAAGATGTAAAAACTGTAGTCTTGTGATGAGTCCAGCATATGCATTAGGATAGGAAATAGTATGATGGACACTCCACATAATATGAGGCATACTGCGTAGGTTTTTGTCACATTCACCCAAGGTAGATCACCCATCCATCCAAGGCCCACCTAAAAAATACAAAACGAATATTAGTGTAAACTGCAATATTTGCAATTGAATGATTGCTTTGAAAAAATAATGATTATTTGCAGCAATATATACACATAGAGTTTTCTCCAAAAAGCTTATAATAAAATTCATAATAACAAAAAATCATAGTATTAGCACTTACAATGCCAATAATAGTGGCAACCCCAAAGATACTCAACATCGCGGAGCCTTGGGCCTCTGTGTAATTATTGTCGGACATAAAGTCCGATATGTAGAAGTAAGGCACGATGAACCAGATAAACAACACAAGCGTAGACAAATTCATCATCAGGAAGTGAAATTCGGTGAACATGTTAAAGTCGAATGTTTTATTTATCATACTAAGGAGACGTCTACCCCAAGTCTGAAAACCAAGACAACAACACATTTTTAGAAATTACAAGGCTCCTTTTACAAAGTATGAAGTTAATTTGAAATAGGTAAAAATACATAAACAAACGCCAACCTTTTCTTCTTGATCTTCCATTGACCACATAGAATTTCTATAAATATCGGGACAAGAAGACGCTCGAAGCTTATACTTCGCGATGTTCATCATAGCACCACGATGCATAATAGAGTTCCTATGTACTCGGATATCTCGTAAATAGTGATGATCAGTAAACTGTCGTGTCAGCCAGTCTTGACGATTTGAAACAATAACTGCCGGTTTATCTTCTGGTACCGGAGCAAGCAGTTTCTCTCTAACCTGATCAATTTTAGCCTCGAACTCTTTCTTCTTCTGTTTTTTATTCAGTTTTAATTTCATTGACATAGTAATGGGTTTCCCTTTAGGAACTTCAGGCACTGGTTCTGTTGGCAATTTTTGCTCGGAATTGCTTCTCAATGCTAGTAGCGATGGATAGTTTTGTAGAACAATGTTGTAAATACGTTTATTTGCCATCAACTGGTCTAAAACTTCTGCCGGTACCTAAAAATAAAGGAATAGTTACTAAATTAGTGAAACAATTTCGAGGCAAATTAACATCGAGCCATGAATAAAAACAAAAATTACCTTTTCACTTTGTTTTAAAAATGTGGGAAGATTAATAACGGAGCTAACTTTATTCTGTTGAGTTATATCTGCATTCATTTTAGTTGCAGCTTCCAGATCTTCAGCTTTAGCTATAGATGCTACTAACGTTGTCAAAATGTACTCAGGTGTTTCGCCACTTTTCATTAATGACTTTAACTCTTCTGCTCCTGGATATACAGATTCTCCACCACCTGACTTAGCTGATATTGATGCATAACTAGAAGCTCGTTTAGATTTATTCAATATTCTTTGTTTCTTTTGTTCTTGAATTAGCCACTCAGGGTCTCTCATAACGGCTCCACAGATGCATACATTAAGTACCGTGCCACCTAAAAGTAATAAGGCACCTCTCCAACCAAATTCGTCCAGCAGATATGTTGTCAATGGCGAGTAGATGAACGTACCAAAACCAACTCCACAAGATCCCAACCCTACAGCTAAATTACGTCGCTTCTCAAACCAATATGCAATGCAGACCACAGCTGTGACATACAATAAACCCATTCCTAAGCCAGCTATCATTCCATAAGTAACGTACAATACTTCGATTGAGTTACTGTATGCTGCAGCAACAAATCCTACTGTGGAGCTTACAGCTCCAACTATTGTCATCTTTTTGCATCCATATCTGTCCACAAGCGCACTCATTATAGGTCCTGCAATGAGTGGAACGGAAATAAAAAGACTCCCGATCAATGAAGCTTTTGCTTGACTGGCGTGAAAGTGGATTACAAACCTTTGTTGTAGTAAACCATATGAAAAAGCAAGACCATCAGCCACTGTCGCGATGAGAAACGAGGCAGCTACGACCACCCATCCCCACCCACCGTCAGGTATCTGAGGCGCTTGTTCTGGTGGCGGTCTGCTGGAGCAGATACTGTCAGCATCTCCCAAACCCAAAAACTTAACTCCTTCATTTGTGGAATGCGCATCTTCATCGCCTTTTCCATCTTTATGATAGGAAACAATAAGGTTATTTCCAACATTAGCACAATCCGTTTTCATTGAATTTACTGTATTGAGATCATTTTCAGATTTTATCGCCACTTTACTTTCATTATCCTCATGTGCATCTATGTACTTGATGTCACAAGTGTTATACAAGAGCGGAGACGCAATCTTCTCCTCTTCAGACGGTACTTTCTGTTCATGCTTAAGAAATTTCTCATAACTCGAAATTCCATTGGTGCGCGCTCTTTCCGTGTCCATTAGTCTCTAGAGCGCGCTTTCTCAAGTACGATGCGCAGAACGTACTTAAAATTTCTGTCTCGTTCTCTAACGAACGCTAAGGTTACTACCAAATTGGATAAAATCCAACGACGAAAAACACTTTACGTCGAAATAATAAACTGTTTTGACCAATGTCTTAACCTGGGATCTCTAGCTGAATAGCGACAGGGCCTTTTTGAAATGCAAAGTGTGAGAGCGTAAGGATTGTAGCTTGTCGAGTACATCAAGGACCGGCTAGTCCTCGATTTCACACCTATAAAAAAACCACTTTTTAGTTTGTAGCTCGTTTGACGTTCAAACGATGTATCTCTTCTTGACATGAAGAATTAAAGTTTCGCAGTTGGTAACATTTCAAGTTTTCGATTACGTCTCAAACCAGTTATCTGAAACAAAGAAATTTATAATTTAGACATATCATCTATTGCAAATTTAATTTTACCAATAAAAATTGAGAAATCGTTTCCCTAATCTGACCACCAAGGAAACGTTTTAAAACAATCGATTGGCGCACAACGTGCGTTATACTATATATGCGCCACCGTTATAGTAAGGCTGTAATTAAAAAATAAATAAAAAAATACAAAATTAAATGTCGTTTCCTTTAATTAGTAAAGGGCAAATTACAATTGTAGTTTTGGAAGAAAAATCACATGGTTAGGTGCGATGTATAAATAAGTTACAATAAATTATTAAAAACATTTTCTTGAAGTACCTATCTACGTGTTGTAGGCTGTTAAATTTCATGGTTCATAAATATAAACCCAATGAATTAAGTGAACTGCGTGCTAGTTATTGGGCTTGCTCGATATGACCTTAGTATTTCGTTGTTTGAAAATAAGAGGAATATAACATTAATTCTATAATTGTGTTTTACATTATATGATTTTAAAAAAATGTTTTTTAATTAGGTGCAGTTTTTTGCCACAAATGTGTGTTGTGGCTGAATATTTATTATATTTTTTATTCCTTTATTTATACCTACTGTTTCTATTTGGCAGTGATCTCTTGACAGTGAATTTCAACTGATTCAAATTAAAATTTCAACTTTGCCAAGTCTACCAACCTTACAGTGATTTAAACAAACACCTAAAATGACAAGACCATTAAAACAATGTCGATGAGATGATGACCTTGTCATAATGAGATTATTTGCTATCTTATTAAAGCACGTATGGGAAACGTGTATTGCCCTCGTTTGACGTGGAAATAGGTTAAAGATATCAATATAAAGACCAGTGCAAATCGGCAGACCGCGGGGGAAATAATCGAAGAGGATCTTGTGCTCGCCAGCGCACACTGATAAGGGATATTCCCTGATACCGTGAGCGTCCCCAGCGCACCGCTGAGTCCGCTGGAATGCCTCGGTATCCCTTTTACTAGACTACGCAGTCAAATATACGGACTCCGGCGCATACCGATGGGATCCGGCGGCGCATGCCTCTAGCGTGTTCTTCAATAATAAAAATAAGAAATGTCGGTCTCAGAGCATTAAAATGCACTTACACCTTAATTATTAAGTTGTGAGAGCGCTGCTGGCACTGGTGGAGTTCTGTTGACTATTCAGTAGGATTGTAATTTTGTCGGGAGAGTAGTATAGTAGCCTCCGCAGCCAGCGCGCCTCCGTACATCTTGCTTAATACGTTTAAAGTTCAAAATTCAAAATAGTAAAGAACTAGTGTTAATAAATCCAGTTTTATAAATATTTATTCCAGTTTTAACAATTTATATGTTCTTTCAAATGTTTATCGTACTAAAGATTTTTAGTAACTGGTAAACGGCTCAAAAAATTAAGAATAGAAGACGTGTTTGCTGCCGCGATCGGGCAGGGAGTAACGTTGGAACGAAACAAAATAAGAATGCGAGGCAAAAGAACTATGGAACAGTTCAAAATGTAAAAAGTACGAGTGACCAGGAACCGGAGAAAGGCGATAAAAAGGTGGGATGACGACGTAAGGAGGTCACACCGTTACAAAGTTCATTCAATATCACGATGTTTTATTGATTTTACTACCATGATATTCAATTATTTTTTGTCGAATTACTCCACTAGTTTATTATAATTATTAATATAGCAATAGCAATAATAACGCACACACTCAACATAGCCCCGCACTAGGGAAACCCTGTGTCGCGGGTGCCATGGACACACACATAGACAACCACAAATTACACCCAAACTCACGAGAGAAATAATTGTAGGCCATACAACTATTTCTCCCGGCCCGGGAATCGAACCTGGGACCTCTGCGTGGCAGTCCGGCATGGTATCCGTTCGGCTACGGAGGCAGTTAAATATAAAGATAAGACAGAAGAAAATATAAAGACAGAACGCAGAGAAAAACTCGTTCGATCCGGCAGGGTTCGAACCAGTGCCTTCACGAAACCGTGGCTAACGCTCTCCCAACTGATCTACGAAACAAACTAGAAATACGAATTTGTTTTTGGTAGCTATAGCTAATTACAGTACCCGATTAGTGAACTGTTTTACAAATAACTTTGGTGTTACCACATGTATTAACACCAAATTTTTACTAGTATTTCACTGTTAAATACTCGATAGCCTAGTATAAAGAAACAAATATTCATGATGCGTCCCTATGACAGAAAAAAATGTGGGAAAAAAACTTTGGCGGGATTGTTGACGTTTAGTGTTTGATGAAGACTTTAATTGTGATAGACATTGACTTACAATTATATGGACGTCGGGTCCGCGCTAAAAAGTGTCCGCACTTGTAAGGCGCTAAAATCGTATACAGTGCGCGACACTCCGCTTTAGTCTTCATTTGTTCTACGGACAGCGCGATACTGCGATGACATGACAATTTAAATTTCGAATAGGTTGACTTGGGATATTTTTTTCGTGGTTTTTGTATTAGACCCGTCGTCCATTTATTTGTAAGTCAATGGTGATAGATGACATTATTAATTAATTTATGTAATTATTACATATCAAAATGATCGTCAGAATGTGCTTTTTCAGATGATGTTAAAACTTTAATACTTATTTAACAATTTATTGGAATCACAATCTTATTGGAAAAAAGGTCACCAAAGTGGAGGTCATCGCACCTTGTAATTGTTTTTTTGAAAAAAACTTATTCATTATTAAAACACTTTTTGGAGTAAAATATCACATAAATAAATACATAACTTTATTCAATAGAGGTTGTATTAAAACCTTTTTTAGGACGTTATATTGTAAATTGTGATAGGATTCGTCAATTGTCTTCCTCGCGATTTATAGTTTTTTTACGCCATTTTCGCAAATTTTCGCGATTTTCGTCGCTACCAGTTTGTATTTAATCGTTAGTTGTAGTATGTGTTTATATTATACGTGTCTTATCGCCGCCCGTACTGTAAACATTAAAAAAGGTACCAACTGATTAGAAAAGAGACAGGTATAAAATGTCACGCGCGCCGACGATCAAGTAGCGCAACCTTACAGCTACCAGCGGCTGACCAGAGGTGTCGCTTTTAGTAATTGTAATATTATAAAGTTTACTGAATATCACGTTACACTTTATGTATTACACATAGCATAAAATAAATTGATAAATTTAATTTCCCGTCCGCCGTTTGCGCTGGACCTAAATATAATAAGTATCGGTGAATGAATCTAAGGCCATTGTCAAACTGCTCCGCGCCACGCAACGGTGTGCGTAGCTGCGTTTTTTAACGTCATACCGAAGTATCTCAGTTTGTGAAGATAACACGCGCCTTAATACACACAATCAACGCGTCTCCGCGCGGGAGTGCGGGCCGCATGATCCGTGGTCCCGCACACTCCGCTGCGTGCTGCGGGGCAGTGTGATAATCGCCTTAGTATAGGAACAAGTTTGTAGCAAAGATAAATGACAAAACTTAGCAAAAAAAAAGTAAATTCAAGGCAAAAAAATCGTGAAACACAGCTAATATTAGATGTAGAGAAGCCCCACCCCTGTTGCCTAGATATTCGGCCGTGACTCTACAGGGCAATGACCGAAAGACAATAAAACTAATGCCGTAACTCTATTACTTAAGTAAACAAAGCCCATACTTAGTATCGGTAGACTTAAGTGCGTTAAGTAGAATAATAAACAAAGTTTATTCTTCCCTCTTGTTTATAATATTGAAAGAAGTGAAGAGAATGATAAGGTTGAAAAATACGTCGGTAGAGTTTAAGTGGAAACAAACTGTCGATGTTATTGATTTAAATTAATATTTCTTTGACCAGTGCGCTTTAGTCTGCCGATCCTATATTACACCGATAGTTCGGGATAAAATCCCCATTTTATCCCGGTTTATATTATAAAGCGAAAATTTGTTATTGATGTTCAGTCGATGCGCTAAAACGGCCCATTCACTGCCTAGCAGTTCGCCGTGCAGGCAGGAGACTGCTCACATACAATTCTGCATAAGACCTACGTATGGAGTCTCGCACGCAAGACGCATTGCAAAATTGCAGGATGGCATGCATGCTGCGACGAAATTCATAATCCTGCAATACGCGGCGGACTGCAATGTAGGATAACGAATGCCTCCTCTTAGACACTCCCTAACCGATATATAACGAATATTTGGTTCTGACGTTCTGATTAAATGAGTGTGAAGAATTGTGTTAAACAAACTTAACCTTTAACTAAACCATAAAATTAATTTTTACATGACTTCCTTATTGCATCAATGCATTGGCGTAAAATTTGATCTTTAATTAGGTTACATAAATACAAGTTTCAACCAAATGGATGGAATTCCTTTGTGCTTTCTGTTGGATGCGACAGTAGGCTCTCAGAACCTTTTTACGCAAGGTTGGCTACGGGGTCAGGTATCTTGGATCGAATTTTCATGCTTTGCAAAAACATTCTTTTTTACATAAGCTTTAGTTCAAAAATTAAAAAGATATGAATAAAAATGTTAACAGTAATTTTCAGGTAAGTTTTTTGTAATCAATTTTGGTGACAATTTTTATGATTTAATTACTAGAATATAATCGTGAAATATTAAAGAATATTTCAGGTTACCACACTGGAATATTAAATAATACTTCATGATGATATTCTATAAATATTGAAATAAAAAAATTGGCACCAAAATCGAGTACAAAAAACGAAAATTACCCTTCAGCAACTTTTTGTTTTTCGTTTGGCTTCGAGTTTTACGGCCCTTTTCACACCTCAGGGCTATCACAATAGGGGGCGACTTGCGCGACAGAATGTAGAGCGCGTGATTTCTATGCGAGAATTAAGCAGTATCTCGCGCTTTATATCGCTCTCGCTCAAGTCGCACCTTATTGTGCTAGCCCTACTGATATCGATAATACTTATATATAGATTGTATTATATATAGATATATTATTATTATATATATTATTATATATAGATGATATAGAGATAGTGATGTTCAG